CCCAGATGTCTTTCTATTTATTTACATCTTCTTTAATTTCTTTAAGAATTGTTTTGGTTTTCATAGTATAGGTCTTTCACCTTCTTAGTTATGTCCTAAGTATTTAATTCTTTTTGATACTATCAAAAATGGACTTTTTCTTAATTTTGTTTTTGGATTGTTCATTGTTAGTATATAGAAATGTAACTGAATCTTATTTTGACTTTGTATCCTGCTACTTTACTGAATTTGTTTATACAGTCTACCAGATATTTTGTGGAACCTGTAGGGTCTTTCATATATAAAATCATACTATCTGTGAACAGAGATAATTTTACTTCTTCCTTTCTAATTTGGATGCCGTTTATTTCTTTTTCTTGTCTAATTGCTCTGGCTAGGACTTCCAACACTGTTGAGTAGAAGTGGTGAAAGTGAGCCTCTTTATACTGTTACTGATCTTAGAGGAAAAGCTTTCAGTCTTTCCCATGGAGTAGGATGTTAGCTGTGGGTTTTTTGTATATGGCTTTTATTATATTGAAGTAGTTTTCTTCTGTTTCTAGTTTGTTGAGTATTTTTGTCATGAAAGTGTGTTGAATTTTGTCAAATGCTTTTTTACCTCAATTAAGATGATCATGTAGTTTTTTTTTCTTTCTTCTGTTACAGGGATCGATTTTTGTGTGCTCAATCATTCTTGCATTCCAGGAACAAATCCCTCTTGATCATGATGTATAATATTTTTAGTATGCTGTTGAGTTTGGTTTGCTAGGTTTTGGTTGAGGATTTTTGCCATCAGTGTTCATAAGGGGTATTGGTCTGTAGTTTCCTTGTAGCATCTTTATGTGGCCTTGGCTTTAGGGTGATGCTGGCCTCATAGAATGAATTAAAAAGTGTTTCTTTACCTTCAATTTTTGGGAAATGTTTGAGAGGAATTACTGTTAGTTTTTTAAATATTTGGTAGAATTTCCCAGTGAGGCTATCAGGTCCAGGGCTTTTCTTTGCTGGTAGATTTCTGATTACTTGTTCAGTCCTAGTTATAGGTCTCTTCAAATATTCTATTTCTTTGTGGGTTAGCCTCTGTAGGATTAGTGTTTCTAGGAATTTGTCCATTTCATCTAGGTTATCTAATTTATTGGCATACTGTTGTTCACAGTACTCTCTCATAGTCTTATTTCTATTGAATTGCTGAGTGTTCATCACTTCCATTTCTGACTTTAGTCTTCTCTCTTTTTTTCCCTAGTCCATCTAGGTAAAGGTTTGTTGATTTTGTTGATCTTTTTGATGAACCAACTTTTTGGTTTTATTGGTTTTCTTTATTACTTTTTCTGTTCTCTATTTTGTTTGTCTCTGTTCTGATCTTTATTATTTTCTTCCTTCTGCTACCTTTGGGTTTAATTTATTTTTTTTCTGGTTCCTTAAATTATAAAGCTAGGTTGTTGGTTTGAGATCTTTCTTGTTTTGTAATGTAAGTGTTTAGAGCTATAAATTTCCCACTTGCCAGTGCTTTTAATATTTCCATTTTGGGCCGGCCCAGTGGCTCACTCGGGAGAGTGCGGTGCTGATGGCACCAAGGCCCCGGGTTCGGATCCCATATAGGGTTGGCCGATTCACTCACTGGCTGGGCGTGGTGCTGACAACACCAAGTCAAGGGTTAAGATCCCCTTACCGGTCATCTTTTAAAAAAAAAAAAAAATTTCCATTTTGCTCACACATAGGTTTCTTTACTTTCACCATGTCTTTCTTAAATTCTCTGAGCATCTTTACGACTGCTTTAAAGCCTTAGTCTGATAGATCTGCCATCAGGTCTTTTACAAGGACAGTTTCTGCTGGGGAACAGCCATACTTCCCTGTTTCTTTGCATGCCTTGTGATTTTTGTTGAAAACTGAACATTTGAATGTAATACTGTGGAAAGCTCTGGAAATCATTCTCTTCCTTCCTCAGGGTATGCTGTTTTTTGTTTTATCTTTTTAATTTTTAAATTATTGTAGGCTATCTGTACTGAGGATTAGCCTGTGATATTAACATAAGGTCTTTTTGGATCCATACATTCCCCTGGGCATGCACAGTGACTTTCTAATTTCCCCTGTGTGGTGGGGGTACTTCAAAAAGTTCATGGAAAGATTTGTATTCTTTTAATTCCATTTTTCCATGAACTTTTTGAAGTGCCCTTGTATGTGCATTTGCTTTTGAATGTCGTATTCTTCGATGTCTGGCTCCCAAAAGGGAAAAAAAAGAGAAAAATAGAAGGGGAAGAAAAAGGTGCTGGCCCTTTAAATCCTCTGGAAGTTACCTCAGCCAGAGGAAGAGGGACTTGCATCAATCTGAGGTAGATGCAAAAACAATGGCAGCCCCCTCTTCATCTGCACCTCTATGGGCAGAAGTAGCAATCTATGATCAGAGCACAGATCCTCAATATTTTAAGGACAGGGTTCTTTTTGCCCACCCTGGCTCTGGTAGCTGTTTGTAAGCTGCTCTAGGAACATACACATGGCTGCCTACCACAGTCTCAGGGGTGAGGAGTGGTGGCTGCTACTGTGATAAGAGCTGAAATTGGCCAAAATTAATCACGGTTTATCATCCAAGCCTTCCCCTGGAAGTTTAAGTCTTCAGTTGACTCTAGAGTTCCAAAATGATTACATGAGAAGATTCTTCTAGTGCTGTTATTGTCTAGGTGGAGAGACAGATTTCTGGTGCTTCCTCATCTACCATTTTCCCAGAATCCTCTCCCCTTGCTTAACTCTTAAATCCACTGGAGACATTTATTATATAGAATCTTACTTTTATTATTATAGGTTATTTAAATCACCCTTAGGGGTGGCCGGTTAGCTCACTTGGTTAAACTGTGGTGCTGATAACACCAACGTCCAAGGTTCAATCCCTGTACTGGTCAGCCGCATGCATGCATGCATAAATAAATAAATAAAAACACACACGTAAATAAGAAAATAGAAAAAAAAAGAATCACCCTTGAATAAGCATGAATCTTTAGGTTTAAAGAGAGACTTTTCTTGGGCCGGCCCGGTGGCGCACTGCTACAGTGCGCCGCTTGGGAGTGCGGTGGCGCTCCCGCCGAGGTTTCGGATCCCACATACAGACCGGTTCCCGCGCACTGGCTGAGCAAGGTGTGGGAGCAACGCCGAGGGTTGCGATCCCGTTGCCGGTCCCGGTCCGGTACGGGTGCAACACTGAGGGTTGCGATCCGTTGCCGGACACGAAGAAAGACAAAAAAAAAGGAAAAAAAAAAAAAAAAGAGAGAGACTTTTCTTTGTTATTTTTAATATGAGGTAACTAGTTATTCACTCAAATATAGTAAGATCTTGAATAGTTATATTTCTTATATAAGAAATCAAAAGTCATTTTGATAAATGTAAATAAATTTTAAGGTGGGAATTTTAGCTTCTCTTTTTTCCTATTCTAGCTCTTTTCTTTTTTTTTTTTTTTGTCTTTTTGTCTTTTTTCGTGACTGGCAACGGATCGCAACCCTCAGTGTCGCGCCCGTACCGGACCGGGACCGGCAACGGGATCGCAACCCTCGGTGTTGCCCCCGCTCCTTGCTCAGCCAGTGAGCGGCCGGTCTGTATGTGGGATCCGAACCCTCGGCGGGAGCGCCGTCGCGCTTCCCAAGCGGCGCACTATAGCAGTGCGCCACCGGGCCGGCCCTCTAGCTCTTTTCTTTATTTGTTTTCTCCCTTGACCTTTTACTCTTGTATGCTCTGCCTTGGTGCAGTGGTTTTAAGAGCACCGATCCCTGGCACATAACAGAAAAGTCTTTAAACTCAGAATATTCAAGGTAATTTGTCAGCATTACCATATTTTGTTAACTCTACAATGCCTACAGTTTGTTAAGTACACTGTTATTTTATGTACCATTAAGATAAAAGAAAATACAGTTAATCATCATTGAAATATGCATCCCAGTATCATAAATGTTAATATGTGAAAAATATGTACTTTATGGCCGGCTCGGTGGGGCACTCGGTAGAGTGCGGTGCTTGGGAGTGTGGCAGCGCTCCCACCGAGGGTTCGGATCCCATATAGAGGCCGGTCTGCTCACTGGTTGAGCACGGTGTGGGCGCGACACCGAGGGTTGCGATCCCGTTACCGGTCACGAAAAAAGACAAAAAGGAAAAAAAAGAAAAAAAAAAAAAAGAAAGAAAAATGTGTACTTTAGAATCTATGATATCAGTACATGTATGGAAAACATGCTCTCATCATGCCACAATTTGTAGTGGCCTTGTAGTTTGTTTTGTAACTCTTGTAAAAAAAAAAACTGAAGTAAAGGTAATGATTTGACCATTTTTTGTATTGAGAAGCTGACCAAAATTTGATTTTCACCTTGTTTTCTGTGATTCCCTGTATGCTGGATAAGTTCAGTAAACATTATTAGTGCCTACTATGTACTAGTTATTCTTAAAATAGCAGCCAACATTTATGCAGGTTTTACTGTGTGCTAGGCACTATTGTGAGCACTTTATATATTTCAAATAATTAAATTTTACAATATCCCTCTGAGGTCAATACTGCTATTATCCTCATTTTATCAAGGAGGAAACTGAGGCACAGAGAAGTCAAATGACTTGGCCAAGATCATACAGCTAGGGTGTGGTGGAGCTGAGATTTGAATGTAGGTCACTTGACTGCAGATATCATGATTGTTAGCAGTATTCCCAAGCACATAGAGATGAATAAAATATTGTGCTTTCCTTCCTTCCTTCCTTCCTCCCTCCCTCCCTCCCTCCCTCCCTCCCTCCCTTCGTTCCTTCCTTCCATCTTAATCCTTGACTTGGTGTTGTCAGCACCATGCTCTCCCAAGTGAGCTAACCGGCCATCCCTATATAGGGATCCGAACCTGTGGCCTTGGTGTTATCAGCACCACACTTTCCCAAGTGAGCCACAGGTCGGCCCTAAAATATTGTCCTTTCCCTCACACATCTTACCAGGTAGTATTTGAAAGTGTGTTGATAAATTTACATGAAATTATTAAGTTATACTTTTGGTAATTAATTTTTATTTGTATTTTTAGGACATTCAGTCAGAAGAAGGCTGCTATAGAAAGAGAGTATGCACAGGTAAGCTTGGAATTGGAGGTCCCCATTCTAGATATATCTCTCTTTTCCTTGGCTTAAGGGCAGATAAGTTTGTTGGAGAGAAGCCTTAGTATCTCCACATACTCCTTTTCTTCTCTACTTTTTGCTCCATTTGAATCTTCAAGTGATGAGCTAACTTGTTCCTTGTTACAAAGAAGGTTGTAAGCTTTTTGGAAGAAGACAATATTTACAATATTTGTAAAGTATTTACAAGTATGAATGATAAAAGGATACGCTTTACAAGTATATATATATTCATTCTCCTTTATATTCCCCATTCTTTGCAGTTTTTGAAAGGTTAATTTTTATATTTATTCAATCAGGCATTTAGTTTTCATTATGGCCCTGTTGATAGGGAGTGATATGTTTTCAATTTATGGTATGCAACATTTACAGAATGTTAGATTTTCCTTCTAATGATCTCTCGTATGTTAAAATTTTGCTATAATTACGACTTTTATAATTTGTGCATCGGGAGGAACAACTGTAAAAGTCTGCTCCTGTGTTTATAAGCTTACCTGTGGATATTTCTTGGGAAATGTAAGCATTTCCTTCTTTAATTTAATTTTTTTTTTTTTTTTGTCTTTTGTCTTTTTCCGTGTCCGGCAACGGATCGCAACCCTCAGTGTTGCCCCCGTACCGGACTGGGGACCAGCAACGGGATTGCAACCCTCGGTGTTGCTCCCGCGCCTCGCTCAGCCAGTGAGCGGGAACCGGTCTGTATGTGGGATCCGAACCCTCGGGCGGGAGCGCCGCCGCGCTTCCCAAGCGGCACACTATCCAGTGCGCCACTGGGCCGGCCCTTTAATTTAATTTTAATTAATTATTTTTGATGGCTGGCTGGTACGGGGATCTGAACCCTTGACCTTGGTGTTATCGGCATTACACTCTAAACCAGCCAGCCCACCTCTTTCTTTATTTTAATTCGAACTTTATTTGTACCCTGATAGCCAAATCTGCCAAGAAATAATTGTTGATATATTGTGTTGTAGGTGTGTGAGAATCAATAACTACTCTTCCATGTACAAAAAACAATTTAACATAATTTGGAAATTTTGGCTCTTTTGATCAATTACTTTCTATGTGGAGTAGAATTTTAAAATTGTTCCTCCTGACACACAAATTGTAAAAGTCATAATCGTAGCAAAATTTTAACATACGGGAGATCATTAGAAGGAAAAATTAACATTCTGTAAATGATCTACATGGTAACTACTATTGCTGCTGCTTCTTTTATTCTCCTTATAAATAATGAGATTAGGGCATGATTTTTTTGTGTACGCTGTCAGGTTTTAGTTTTTTTCTAATTTTCTTATAGTCGATTATGTAGCTGCTGTCTGTCTTTGATTTGATAGTCTTAGAATTATCTGTCTTGAAAGCGAGATAGAACTCATTAATTCATTAATTCAGCAGTTGTTGAGTACTTATAATGTATCAAGAGCTTTACGTAATGTATAGCATCAGTTCTAATATTTATGTTGAACTCTATTTCTATGCATATATAATAAATATTAGTAACGATAGCTAACATTTATTGAATCCTTACTTTGTACCAGGCTCTTTGCTGAGTACTTTACATATGTTATCTGGTTTAATCCTCTCAATCCTGTGAAATAGGAAGTTATGATGTTCTTTAAAAATACACTTTCATATTTGGAAATATATAATATATGTATATTTATAAAATTGGGATGAAAATCTATGATCTGCTTTAAAAAATTTAATAGAACATGAAAAACTTTATATGATATATTCTTCTGTAACAACACAAAGTTTTAATCATCAAGTAAATAGGACATGTTTATGATTAAAAATGTAAAATAATACATTGAATTATATGAAAAGTAGCAGTCCTCTGCTCCAATCTCAGTTTCCTTCCTCAGAGAAAATATTAAAATGAATGCCTGTTTGGTTCTCCTGGTGACTATTTCCTTATCTTTAAATAATGTACTTATGACTGATTCTCAGTTTATCAACTCTACATATTAGCACTTGATTACTTATAATAAATGAGAAATTAATTTACTAAGCTGTGCCTTTCTAGACAACTCTTTCCAGTATAATTGTGGCATTAGTTTAGTGCATTTATTATTTTTGTAACTCTAAATGATATATTAAAACTTATCTCCTTTTTTATCAAGTACATAATATATATATACACACATTTCTATTATATATATGTATCGGTATATGCATACCTGTATATATGTGTGTACATAGTACTATAGAATTACATTTTACAGAGTGGTCAAATTTCACCTTGAAAACTTTCTTTAAATGTCTGTCATATAGCTTATACCTGGTTTTGTTTATACAATTCTCTGTAATAATGTATGTAAAATATGTAATGTATCTCATTTCAGTTTGTATATTTCAAAATTTTATAAAGTAATTGTATTCAGAAATTAAAATGTTCTAGTGTCTCTCTTGAAACAATTGAGCATATTTATGGAGAGTCAGTTTGCTGACTGTTCCTGTTATTTGTCATCATATTTGCCTTTTAGATGATTTGTCAGTTCTTACTCTTCGGTGTTTTCCCAGTTTGCTTTTCAATTTCTTTCCTGAGGATCTAGTCAAAGATATCTCTATCCTCTTGTTTGGTTGCCTAAACAGTGTTTTTACTTCTTTTCAATATAAGAGAAATCCTTAAAATAATTGACCCATTCTTTCTGTAGATTTTGCCAGTAAGCACTGATTATTTCAGGCTTGTTTGCATTCTTTATATGAAGACATACCCTCATTGGTGATAGGGTTTGGTCAGAGAGGACACTTGCGCTATTTAAATTCTCTTCTTCGGTTTATTTTAGAGTTGAAATTTGGGGGAATAAATTTTTAAAAATTGAACTATAGCATATATATAGTAAGATGGACATATCCGAAGTGTACTGTTTGATAAATTTTTGTGAAGTGAACACAGTCACGTTAACTACTAGCCCTATTAAGACATTGTATGTTACCAGGGCCCCAGAAGCAGTCCATACTCATACTTTTCAGCAGTAACCAGTACTCTTTTATCAGAATAGTTGTTATTTTTGGATTTCTGATGCTGTTTGAACTTAAATTAAATGGTACCATGGAGTATGTACCTCTCTGTGTCTGATTTTTCTCATTCATCATTAAGGTTTTGAGCTTCATCCATGTTGCATGTAGGAGTAGTTCATTATTTTTTACTTTATAGTATTTACTGAATGAATATATCACAATTTGTTTTTCCAGTGTACTGATGATGAAAGTTTGAGTTGTTTTCAGTTTTGGATGATTTTTGAGCAACGTTTCTAAACAAAGGTTTTATGCATGTCTTTCAGTGGACATATGTACATATTTGTGTTTGGTATATGTGGAGGAGTAGAAATGCTGGCTCATTGGGTATGTGTATGTCCTACTTTAGTAGATACCGCCAAACAATTTTGCAAAGTGATTGTACCAGTTTACAGTCTCACCAGCAATGGATGAGAGTTTCAGTGGCTCCACATCTTTGCCAACATTTGATATTCTCTGAAATTAAACAGACTGACATTTTGATGAGTGTAGTAGTATCTTATTTTCATTTTAATATACTTTTAAAAAATTGACATAAAACATACATACAGAGAAGTGTGAAGCTCATAAGTATGCAGTTCCATGAATTTTCAAAGTGAACTCACCTATATACTAGCATGCAATTCGAGGAACAAAATGGAACAGTAACAACATCTAAGAAACCCCTCTTGTTCCCTACCTTTACTGCCTTTACTCTCAAGCAAGGAATCTACAGAATTGACTTTTGTTAAAAAAAAAAAAAAACAAAAAGCCAGCTTTATTGAGATATAATTGACACACAATAAACTGCACAATTTTCAATTTGATAAGCTTTGACATGCACATACACAAGCGTGCTTCAAAATGTTTGTGGAAAATGGAATTAAAAGATAAATTTTAAAAACGTAAATTAAAAGAATCTTTCCATGAACATTTTAAAGACTCCTTGATATATCTACCTTTGAAACTATCATCACAATCAAGATAGTGAACACATCCATAATCCCCCAGGTTTCCTTGTATCCCATTATAATCTCTCCCTCCCATTTATTTTTCCTTGATTTCCTTTCCCCATCATCCTCAGGTAATCACTGATTAGCTTTCTATCACTATAGATTAATTTTCATTTTTTAGAATTTTAATTTAATAAGTATAATCATACAGTATGTACTCTCTTTTTCTGGCTTCTTTTTTTTTTTTTTTTTTTTCCGGGTCCGGCAACGGATCGTAACCCTCAGTGTTGCCCCCGTACCAGACCGGGGACCGGCAACGGGATTGCAACCCTCGGCGTTGCCCCCGCGCCTCGCTCAGCCAGTGAGCGGGAACCGGTCTGTATGTGGGATCCGAACCCTCGGGCGGGAGCGCCTCCGCGCTTCCCAAGCGGCGCACTTATCCAGTGCGCCACCGGGCCGGCCCCCTGGCTTCTTTTATTCAGCATAATTTTGCAATTTATCTATGTTGTGTGCATCAGTATTTTATTTCTGTGTAATATTTTATTGTATGGATATACTGTAATTTATTTATCCATTTACCTGTTGCTGGCGATTTGAGTTATTTCCATTTTTGGGATATTATAAATAAAGCTGCTATGAACATTTGCATGTGTACAATAGTTTCATTTCTCTTGGGTAAAGAGAGTGGAATGGCTGGTTATTTTATTTTTTTATTTTAATATTTACTTGTACATATTAGTGGGGTACAGTGTGTTGTTCAATACATGCATATACTGCACAATGAATCTCTTAGGGTAGATAGAATAGTTTTGTACCTGTTAGTCCACTACTTTTCCTCCCACCACGCCCCCTCCCCTCTTGTCCTCTGGTAATCATTATTCTACTCTCTACTTCTATGTATGAGAACCACTTTTGTTTTTTTAAGATTCCACTTATGAGTGATGTGGTATTTGTCTTTCTGTGCCTGACTTACTTCACTTAACATGATGGTTTCCAGTTCCATCCATATTG